GGATTTCTGATGCTTTTCAAAGTCATCAAATTTGTGATTCCAGAAGAATGTGAAGTTGTTTTGTCTTTTTTGCGGGGGGAGTAATGTGATGGCCGTACAAAATTTTCAGAGATAACAGTGAGGTTGGAGAACAGATGCTGGAATTGTTCCCCTGTCCATAGATGCCTACAGTGCAGGTATCTAGACTTGTGCAGCTAAGTGCAGAAAAAAAGCTGCTTCTGGTTGTGGTCATGTTGACGACTGCCTGATGTCTGACTTTTCTGCTGTCTGCAATGCAGTAGGCAGGACAGTACTCTGCCATGTACTGGTTGCCAAGGTTTCTGAATCGTAACCGGTGAGGTTTTCTTACAAAATCTTTTTTTTTGAGTGGTACGGAAAAATAACAACAAATGTTTATTAACAGGTCAACACACATTATTATGGTCAGGTCTAGGGCTGGGAGAGTGACAAAGCCCACAGCTATAACTGTAGCAGGCTGGAAATGGGGCCAGTGTAGTAGGGCCAGAGGAAGGTTTAGGCTGCAAATGTTTTCTCCTCTGTGAACTTGGTCACTGGGGTCCCGTCTGAGTGTCTTCATGTCAGAATGAGCCAAGGGATAGGGTTAGGGTTATGATTAGGATTGGGGGAGAGACAAAGGCTAGAGCTGCAGATGCAGTGGGGCTGCCAGAGGAAGGTGTGCGCTGCAAGTTTTCTTCCTTGCAAACTCTTTAACCTGAGACATGGCTGCCCTGGGCCTCAGCTCCCCAGCTAAGTCCTTTGGTTAGGGTCGGCAGGGCAAGAAAGCGTGGGACTGCAGTTGTAGGGGGCTGCCAGGGGAAGGCGTGGGTTGGGAAGTGTTTTCTCCCCTGCAGGCTCTTTCCCCTGGGCCATGGCCGAGGGCCTTGCACCAGGTCGCCAGTGCAAAATGGTTAGGGTTTTTCTTTGCCCCTTATTTCAACAGAAACCTACTGGAGCTGATAAAACTTTACATGTCAAGACAGATGCTCTATATGAATCTAAATAGGCACAGAAAATTTAGTTTGTGTGTATTGACCTATGTGGGAAGAGGTGTATTCAGTGGCTTTTTCGAGAAGCAGGAACAGATAGTAAGTGTGACTGAAGGTGGTCATTGAGACACTCTGCGTAAACAGTATGGCTTTTCAGCCAGGTTGGTGGCTGAGCAAGCTTAAGCCACTTGATATTTTGGCATCTGGACTGTTGCTGTAGATGAGGCAATAATTTAGAAGCAGACAGTCTGCTTTGGAAGAAATCTCCCTTTGGCACATTCTGCAGTGAGCAAGTCCTGGGGTTTTGGTGCCAGACTGTTTAGAGATGTTTCCAACAGGAGGTAAACATTTTAATAATAGAGACCTTTCTTCCTCAGGCTTTTCCATCTTGCTCCATCCCATCTCCTCCCTCTTCAGACTCCAAACGGTGATCTAAAATGTTGCTTATTCCCTGCTCCTTTCCTTTCTCTCATTTTATCCTTCCCCCATATTGAAGATTTATTTAGAATGGGCGTTTGCATTTGAGGTTTCCATTAAGACCTCTTTATTTTACTTTCTATTACTGTCTATGGCTTTTGATCTGCACCTGCAATATTGGTTGTGGTGCCTAATGTATTCATGTTTGAGTATTACAGAAAATTGGATGCTTTAGCTAATATATCCTTTTTTTTTTTTTCCCTGAGACAGAATAGGCAGATTGAAGATGGAAATCACATCAGAGCTAGAGTATTTGGAAAGAAGTGCTCTGATGAAAAAAAATAAAGATCTTAAGTTGCCTGTTGCTGCAGCTAAATGGAAAATAATAGTTTATAGGGTTGCTGCTGTGGAAGTCTGAAAGGCTTGTGCCTTTTTGGGGATAAAGAAGTAATGCTTGTTTGTCATCTATGAAATTAATGATTATAGGAAGTGAGATATGTGGTTCCTTTCTTGCCATTCTGTGTATCTCGGGGAGGAGAAGTGAATTGTTTGTATATAAAAGTATATTTTTTCATCATTTGTTTTTAGGACATAATAGTGTTAGATTCTACCTTAAGCAGAAGGCAGGAATAGCACAGCAATCTGTATGAGCTCAGGTTACAGAGTTTTTAACTGCAAGAAGATTAAGAAAATACCCCCAACTCCCAAAAATGTCATTCACATTGGGTTTGTTGCCACTCCTGATTATGGTGGTATTGGAGGTGTGGGGACTCCAAGTGTGTAATAACACCAGTACAATTTAGGACAGGTTGGACAGAAACTTTATTAACTATGATCATAGAGTACATTTAGAATAGCATCTCCCCCTCTGCTCCCCTGTTCTCTCCAAGTGATTGCAGAGACCCAACCTATATACTGTTTCAGGGGAAAAAAGAAAGAGGTGAGGAAAACCAATCATTTCAATGTTAACAAAGCCAGATATCCACCCCTGGAAGGGATGGACTCCTTAATGAGCTTGCTAACTGCCACAGTCCTAAGAAGGAATCAAACAGTAAATAACGTGACAATATGGAGAGATGACTCTTGCAGGAGCCTATAGGAGTGGCATATCCCGTGTTATCTTAGCTCGGAAGTGGGCAGTTGGAAACAATCACAGACTGTTAGTTTTGAGTTGAAAGGAATGTTCTTTTAGTTAGGATAAACTTCTTAGCCAGACCTCTCAAATCTTAAATATTAATATTTTTACCACTACAATAGGCTGCTAGAAGAGTCAGTTCTTGAATGGAGACAGTATCAGCACAAAGTGAGATTCCTCTCTTCCATAGTGGGTATACTAATTTTTGGAGAGCTTTACATTATCATAGACATCTTTGTTTCTCTTCAGTTACCTTGAATTTGAAGTGAGTGTCTTGACCTGACGATTTTCTTCCCAATGGATGGGACTGGTTGAATTTTATTCCTTTGGATAAAAGGCATAAGGGTTTTCTCTTGGGGGAAGGGTGGTAAAGAAACAGTGTTTGTTGCAACAGGATTTTATAATTAAAATTCCCCACTTTTAGAGGCTTGGTCGTTTTTTTGAATATTCTAACAATGAGTCATGTCAGCAGTTCTTATAGCGTGTTCATGGGTGATGGGGAACTTTGGAAGGATTGCTAACCTTTGGACACTGAACAGTGTCCAACTGTGGTATCACTGGCCCAATGATGTTTTCATGAGGTGTGGGGTTTTTTTTTTGGACTCCCTTTTTATTTGTCTCCTCACATTTACGTTTTATGGGGACCTCTGTTCTCCACAACATATGCAAGGATGGCATTTAATTAATTAAGTACAGATGCAGAAAAATAGACAGGCCACCCATAAAGTAAGTGTACGTCCTTTCTCACTTTCCTGCAGCGTAGAAACTGCTGGACTGTTCTTCCCAAGCTATCGCAATACCCAGATGCCTTCTGGGTTTCTGCTCTCAGGCCCTTCTAGGCATGACTTTCCTCTAGGCAGTGGAGGCAGACTGATGTGACAGAATTCACCCACAGCCTGTGAAGACTGATGTGATCTAGATACATTTAGGATATAAAAGAAATATTGTTGTGGTACTGTGCTGTGGATATTTTTCCTCCTAGTTTTTCTTCATTTCAGTGGCGGGTCTTTGGGTACACACATGTGTTTTCAGGAGAGGAGAAAGGGGGAACATCTTCCTTTCCAGCCATACTGAAATCCTTGTGTGCTGGGGACAAGTGTTTGATAATTTGGATTTTGTGACTTACCACTCATAAATACTCCTTTCTTGTAACAGGTTGCTGAATGCAATAAAGCCTGGATTGGTAAAAAAGATCAATAGACTACCGACCCCCATTGCAGGTTTGGTGAGTATGTCAAATGGAGAAAAAAAATCTTTCAGTGCTGTTTTTTGCACCTTGATTTTATGACTGTGTGATTTAGATAGCAATTATTTTTGTAATTTGAACTCTTCTAACCTACTAAATTCATACAGTCCTTCTGAAATCTGAACTCTCGGTCTAGTCATGTTAAGACCTTCCAGTCTTTTTTTTTGGAAGTGGGCAGTATTCAAGAGGCAGAGTATGTTTTTAGAGGAAGAATATCATCTTTGTTATATGTCATCTTCCAGTTGTGGCGTTAGCTTTAGAAAGACTGGAACGTATGTGTTAGAAGCCATCACCACAAAAAGATAGCTGTTTGGAAAGAAAGAAAAATGTACTTGTATATTTTGTCTCATTTTCTCTTTCCCCAAAATACCACAGTCTGCAGATAACATTCATTGTGGGACTATCTAGGGAACTGTTTCCTGTTGACTTTAAGGGCAGAGTAAAAGTTGGCCATAGTCTGTTATAAGCAAGGAAGACCACAGAGGACATGCTGTCAGCCTGTGGGCTCTCAGGAGCACTGGGTGCTCAGGAGGTCACCTTCAAGGGGTGGCACAGTCCTGTGCCTGCTGTTGGGGAAGAAGGTGGGGGTATGAATGGATGTTGGGTCTAACAGGATTAGCCACATAGAAACATGGCTGTATTGATTTTACCTTGAGAGGTGGCTGGGAATAAAAGGGCCCCTGAGCATATGGAAGGCGGCCATCCTCGATTTAGACTAATGATATACTTATATATGTGATTCCTTTCTGTTCTGGCACTACTCACATTGTCGTTTAGTTGTGCAAGATTCAGAATGTATTACTTGTTGATAGCTGAGGTTAATGTTCCTTTATATAAACTGCATTAAAAAGTTTTAGTGTATTAGAAACCACATTACATACATTTTTAAATTGGTTCTATAATGTAATTATATAGCCTTTTAGGCTGGGTCCTTCAACCTGTAGATTGACAGGCATATTTCCGCATGAATACCGCTTAGTTTTAGGATTTAATTTGTGATTCCCACCACTCTTTCTCTAAAGTTTCCTTGTGTGCCTTTCTTTTGCCTCTAAAACCCATCTAGTTTTATTCCTACGCAGTCCTATTTGAAAGGAGTATTTGATCTAAACAGCTGCAAAAGATACCAGTAGTGCAGTTTTCTTTTCCTTGGCTCCCTTTCAGGAAAGACTCAATTTTTGTTATGACTGTTTTAAGAGGATGATATTGAATTACATTGGTTTTTTTCTTATTCATATGTAAAATCCCAAAGGTAAGGTGGTTTTAGTAGGAGGGACATAGAAAAAGCCATTATGTGTGTGTATTTTTCTCATTCCTTGAGATAAATCTCCCTTGCAAGATGTATATCTTCAAAGCATTACCAAAAAAACAGTTTTCAGGCTATTAATGGTACAGCAGATCTTTTTTGTGTTGGAAGGTGACTTTTTTACCTCTGTACCTGTGTCCTCTACTTACCTTTAGTAATTACTTTTCTAAATTTTTTTTCTAATGAATAATTAGTCTGTTAAAAAAGTTCACTGGTGCTTCTGGCTTCTTGAACATTACCAATGGGTGTTTTTATCTACTGCTCTGTGAATAAATTGCTCCAAACAAAGCAAGCTATCCAAATGTCCCCTTGCTTTCAAAGGTGTCTAGTTCCATACCTGCTGACTTCTGTTGCCATTTTTACTTACAGTGGTGAGTAAGTGGCTGTTTTAAGGATTGCATGTGAATTTAAATGATCAAGTGTTCTAGTCTGTTATGTGTATTTATGGTGTATTGTTATAAAGTACAGACATCGGGAGCATGTTTGAGTGCAGGGTGTATCTTTTTCTCTTACCTGTACTATGTCTGTGTGTCTGGGGAAAAAAAAAAATTTTTTTTGACACTATAGGCCAGCAGCAGTTATACCTCCTAGTTAGTTGACCACATATGAGGGACATTCCTTTATTTATTGCCAATTTTTCTTTATTATCTTAGCCTTGGTTGGCTTGACGTAGTATATAGTTACTTCTTTCCAGTTATTTCACCCCAGTGAGTGTGATTTCCTCCAGTACACGTAGAAGTAGTGTGAAAGCTTCAGTACCTTTTCTGCCTTGTGTGAGATAATATACTTTTGAACTCTCAGATACTGCTTCTGCCTAGAAAGTGTAACTTATTCATTCTAACAGAATTAATTAATTTCTTCCAAATAGCTGATAGAATAATTATTTAGTTCGCTAGTAGAGACAATAGGTTGGTTTTCTTTTTTACAGAGTTGGAGCTAAAACTTACGAGTAATTGTGAAGTACTCGAAGTGCCTTTTGTTTCATTTTTAACCTCCAGAGACACAAGCAGTCATATGTAGCTCTACAAAATGTCTACTTGAGTTTAATTCTCCAGATGATACTCTATTTCTCTCCTTTGTTATTGTAAGGACAAATGAAGAAGTATGCTTTATTGAAGGAAAGTAACAGTAAACTTGAAGCCTGTATCAGAGACATGCTGAGATGTTCATCTGGGAGTATTATCAAGTGTAAAAATTTTGCCTATATTTCGTGTTTGAGTAATTTCTCATAACACTGCTGTGAAGTATTATGTATAGCTGGTTTAGTGTCGACAGATTGAATTCTTCAAACTTTTCCTGGTGTTTAAAGCTAGATGAATCTGCAGTTACTCCGAAATTCTTACCAGTGACTTGCTCCTGTGGTTTAAGAGGGAATGGCTTATTTGCAGATCTTTTGTATACCATAACCAATCATGTAAGCAAAATTTACTGGTTATAGTGTTGTAGTGTTAAAGTAAGGACTCGAGGATCTGCACACCACCATACTAAGCACAGGCCATATAAATACACAAAGATGATCTTTGTCTCGTTGCAAGTCTAAGTCAGGATGTGGATTGTATGCAGCATTACATATAGAATTACATATGTTCAGCTTGGCAGGCTTGTTTGTAATTTGCTTTGATCTCCAGAAGTGTCGACTGCTTCTGTTATCACAGCAGAAATGATACATTGCTTTAATGAAATAAAAAGTAGGACCAATGGTTTGGTATTCAGACTTACAGTGAGTATTAAATTTGATGAAATGCTTTCTCATTCCTGTTCAGTATTCATTAATCCAGAAAGCTAATGCTCCCACAAAAAAGCAAATTCACAAAACATCCAAAGAACATATTAAACCTAGGTAGGAATAACAGGCTTTGCTGAAAGAGCCGTGTTGCCAGAAGAAACTTTCTCATGTGAGAAATAGATACTGAACATCTTTGTTTTAAGACTGTCAGCTTTCTAGAAGCACCATTTCGCGTATTTAATTGTGCAAGGCTGGGAAAGTATTTTGGCTGAGTCGTTAATTAAAAGACCATCTGAAGCTGCAGAAGTCTTACAAAGATGGATTATTAGAGTACAATGAATATAATTAATGTATAAGTGATTTTTACAAAACCAGCAATTTTTTCAGTGAGTTGCTGTTGGTTTCTTTCATTTTTGTATGATGTTCATAGTGGGCACAACTAATTTTTAAGGTTTCTACTAATTGCAATTTTGTACAGTTGTGCCTTATATATTTAATTCTATAGAAATAAAAAATTTCCAGCATCATCATAGATAAGCTTTGCTTTATAACACTAACCACTGTATGTTGACTATCTTTTTCCCTTTAAAAAAATCCTAGTTTTTGCTTCCTGTGCCTGAATAATGTCACTCTGTGAGAAAAGAAAAGCTTTCTGCCTTATCTTTTGTTTGACAGGGTTTAGGAGAGTTTATAGCATTACTTCAGTTCCTTGAACAATCCCCACAGGAGCTCAGACGCTTACTTCAGAGGCTATGTGAAAGAATCTCACTTATAATAGTAGGAAGTAGTCAAGACAAAGTTGGAGAGCTGAACTTTAGCTTGGATCTTGGCTTATGTTTCAGCACTACTGAATAAAAATCTGTTTACTGTGGCATCCAGTTTTCAGCGTGTGTACGGTCCTCATCTTTGTGACGTTTGTATGATTTAGCAATGGAAAAAACAGCTCTGCAAAAGTCACCTGGTTGCACGGTTATTGCACCAAGACGAACAGAACTGTAACGTGCTGTTTAAAAAAGCTTGTCCCTTTGAAAACAAGGTTGGGTTTTTTTTCTGTGATTATTTTCCTAGGAAGTTTCTCTTGGCAAAGCGTTCTCTGGGAACTTGCTATGAACTTTATTAAGAATAGCTACCTGTCTGCTGGTGCTGGTAATTTGCTCTTATGCTGTACTGTTGCATGAATTCCCGTATTTTTTTGATGTCATATGATGTCCCTAAGAAATTCCAGTAGTGTATTAGCTTTCAGGAGTAGTGTATTAGCACAGGAGTTTGTGCTTCTAATTAAGTTCAGCAAATGAGATCTTTTTTCTTCATGCAGATATGAACCTGAAAATAAAATAACAAATATAGTGTAGTGTGTTTCACAGAATTAAAAATCATTAGAGAAGATAAATACATGCATTATTCTTATCACTCCTTCCACTTGTACTTCAGTGTTACTATATGGGTTTTTTTTGATAAAAAATTGTCTTCTCATTTTTCATTCTAATTTCTCACTCTCCCTTTAATTTCCCTTTCTGGAAAGAGCCTGCTTCTATTGTAAGATCTAGATTCATAATACATGATAACTTCTGTTTCCTTATTTTGTACTTCTTCTTGCTGCTGGACAAATTCATTTGCCAGCACAATTGTATCCATAAAAAAAGTCTTGCTGTGTAAGCTGTGGTACATGTGAAGTAAACAGAAGCAAAATTTCCTAACTGTCTAAAAACAGTAAGTTCTTGGCACTCACATCCCAAAAGCATTTTTGTGAATGTTGATGGAAAGCGAAGTGTCAACATCATAGCAAAATGCTGTGCAAACCATTCTGCCATGGTTTCTGTGGATCTTCCTTGCTAAATGGTAGTTGGCTTCAGTTCTGATATCTGAATATTTGACTAAAACAATACTTAGGGTCTGGCCAGTGGTTAGGAGCAGCACTGTGTGCTTTGGCTCACCACATACTATAATATA